CTAGTTGTGACATAATAATGTACAACATAGACATTAACCCACTAATCACATCAGTGGCCCCATTGGTTGTCAATACTCTCAGGAGTAATCCACCTGATAGCTAGGTACCATCTCTCCACCCTCACTCCTGCTGCGGCGATAGTAATTGGTCGCCATACACATCCTCTGCCAACCAAAAATCTGCCACTTTCATCACTCCATTATAGCTACCATCAATCCTGTAACAGCAAAACCAAAACACACAGCCATTGAACTATCACAAGCTGGCTATTTGCAAACAAATACTTACATGCAGTTCCTGGCTGCCACGGTCATGGTGGACACCCCTGTTCATGGCCAGGTAGCCCATTCCTCTGATGACATATTATGTCCAGACATTTCTTTCTAGCATTGGACACCTGTTAATCATTATGTAACCAACTATTCTAGTATGTTCGATCTAACTGTATCCTACACAAATGTAGTCATACTTCTGTCATCAATTAATGTATATAAACTAAATGCTCATAATGGATGAAAGGAAGGTTGGCTGTAAGCTTCATAAGACACATGACTACACTTCCTGCCTTATAAATCTCACAGTAACAAACAACATATTTATTAATTATACAGGAGACTTTAACACGGAAAAGTTAAGAGTCTCGCTGCTTTGAGTGACACAGTCCAATAGACTGCCACCAGACATGAATGGCATATGAAGACTCTCCCTACTACCCACTGACAACAGAGCTGAGATTATATATATTTTTAATACAAACCAGAAAAAAGGCAAAACAAAACAATATATTGTAGGGGTTAGAGTTGTTCAGTCCTGGGTAGAGATGTGGCCTTCTGAGCAAGCCACATCCATTAAGTCCCCTGAGAAGGTTGGGTGGTGGTAGGTGGACCTTGCTCCATGGAGGCACATGATGGCAGATCTGATGAGGGACAGGCTCAGGCGGCATCTCATCCAGTGAAGTGTTGTGCTGTACTGCTGGTTGTGTTTCTCTGAGATGAGTGCTGCTAGTCTCTTGTAGGCTGTTGTTGTTGTTGGCCCCATGCCACCAGAGGTGCTGAATACGAGAGGAGTGAAGGATCCGTGTTCAATTTCTCGAACGCGCTCTTCGTGGGTCCTTCTCTTTTCTCGTTCTTGCCGTTTGTGGCATTGGCTGAGTGTAGATGTTCTGTGCGTTTGTGCAAAAGGGTTGAAAACTCTGATGTCGAAGTAGGCTTGTTGGCGATCTCTTCCCCAGAAGTTTGTTGCAACAACATCGAGGCGGGCGCCTTCTTCTCGGTTGGCTGTTCTGTGGCTCAGTTGCTCTCCGGTGACTGGTTGAAGGTGAGGTTCAGTGCTGACATTGTGGCATACTTCCTTCATCATTTCTGCTGTAAATGTCTCGGAGTTCGTTGTGTCGGATTTGCGGGAATCCTCCTCGAGAGCAACTAAGTGCGTGTTCGACTAAACTTCTGGTTGCATATGCAGTGAGATTGGAGGTTTGGTGGGTGCCAGCCGTACCTGAGACATAGCGCGCCTCTGAATGCTCCTTTATGGAGAGCAAACCCGTGTTCGGCTATCGGTAGGGTGGTGAGCCAGCTTGATGCCCCTTTCTCTGTTGCTGCATCTATGGCTCTTTTCAGAGTTGGTGGGAGCTTTTCTTTGATTTCATTTGCTTCTGTGGCTTCTTGCTGTTTTCGAAGTGTGCGAGCTCTGTTTTTTGCTTGTTGTTGTGCTGCTCTTGCCTGGGGTGGATATGACTTTGACTGGCTCAGAATGAGTTCCGCGAGTGGGGCTGTGATCTTATCGCATGCTGAGTGATGAAGCTCTGTTCGTTTGGTGGGATCGATGATTCCAAGTCCTCCATGCCGTACTGGTAGGGCTAGCAGCTGTCTGTCCAGGTCATTGAAAGCATTTTGACCTGTTACGGTGGGAAGTAGTTTCTGTCTGATGGCGTCTTCGAGGGGTTTCATGTGGCTCTCAATATCAGGGACTGTCCGGCTGAGGTAGGTCCATTTACTGATCAGGCCATGCGTCAATACTGAGTAGGCAGCGTGAGGTTGTGTGATCGCGATGTTTGGCAGCTCTTCTACTTCTTGCGTCCACTTGGCAACTTTCTGTTGTACATAGCTGTTGACGAAGCGTGTTGTACCTATGGCAGCCCCAAGGAGCTTTCTGCCATCAGATGTTATGGATACGTTTGTTCCTCGGAAGATGCTGTGGGCCTCTTCGAGTTTCTCTTCCTTTACGACTAGCCATGTTTTTGCCGCGTTTGGAAAGTACCCGTACTCAGGGCCTTTTTTGGGTGATTTCGTCCCACCATGTTTTGAGGTTGCTGATCTTACCGCAGGCTGTGGCATCATCACTGATTGTGGCATCATCACTGATTTGTCTTCGAGATCTTTGATCAGTAGCGTGATGGCAATGGCGCTGAGAGTTTTGGAAGTTACAAATTTCAGCCAATCGTTAGCTTTCTGCTACCTATATACAGTAGTCCAGTCTTTAAACTTTCTTCTCTCTTTTCAACTTAACGCACTCATCACAATCCTTTCATCCTGGCAGGAGCGAGATTATAATCTGAGGTCTACCAGAATAAGGCTTATGTACAGGAAAAATTGCCATCAATGCCTAAGCTCTGGAGCACTGCAATAACCCTGAACCAGCACTTGCTACCCTATTGACTGTTTATTTGCATTTTCTTTCTAGCAATGTAAATATAACTTGATACTCATGGATAATAGGCAGTGTGTGCACTGGACCAGCTTTGTTGCCTGCTAGTAAAAGAACAATAGAAAAGTGTGCCGCTCTTATCATCGTACCGGAAATGGCATGGAATGGAACGTGCTGAGAAATGATGGGAGGGTTGACGAAGGGGCAGAGAACTGGAAGAAAACGGGGAGAGGGATGACACAGGAGAGATTTGGGTAAAGAAGGGAGTGGTGTCGATGATGAAAATCTGTGTGGTAGTGTTTTCCTTTACCGCTCTGTATATAGTAGCTAGCAACCTTCCTTCAGCCGGAGGGATTAATTCCAGGGGTGCTCCCAGTCTGTCAGGTTTTCATACACTGCAATCCATGGTAACAAAGACGAGGACAGTAGATCGGTCTGGGTGTCGGTCTCACGTTTCTCCTGACTAGTAACTAGCTACTGTTCACTAATCGCCGGAGTGCTAGTGGTAGCGGCAGACAGGAAGGGAAGACAGAGCAAGACGCCGGAGCAAGTTCCTGTGAATGCTACCACCCAAGATGCAGACGGTAAGCAATTGCATTTTTCCACTCATAAACTCAGCGTTTTTGTTTGCAGAACTCAGCCAGATCGCTAGTGCAGTGCAGCGAGGGAGCGCGATCACGCATGCGCAAAACCCTTCCCACAAAAAGTGGTTGCGCTGTATATCAGTTCAGTGTTGAGGAAGTAAGCACTAAGCGGGCGGCGGACTGTGTGTAACTGGAAACGAGTAAGAAGAAATTTGCTCTACTCCTTCTCTTTTGATTACTGTCACTGCTAGCCTCCGTAAGTCAAATCTCTCCGCTTAGCTAGCTACCAACTTTTGTTCTGCTGTAATCTTGCCAAAAAGAATTTACTCAACAGCTAGGCTGTTAAGAACTTACCAAAGTAAATGGGTGTATTAGATGATCTAGGTACCAAACATAGATGTGATGTACCACACATTGGGTGTGGTAGACTGGATGGTATTAGACATTGAGTGTGTTAGATTTGACAGCAGCAACCACTTTTTGTGTTAGATGAATTTTGATAGTAGCAGACAGTGAGGGTGTTAGATTTGATTGTATGAAACTTTGGGTGTGTTGGTACAAAACATTTTGTGTGTTCAGCATACAATAGATGTTAGATTTGATGGTATGAAACACTGAGTGCTGTTGAGAAGCATACAGTAGGTGTGTTTGTTTTGATGGTATGGAACAGTAGGTGTTTTATACAGTGAGTATGTTAGACTGTATGGTACCAAACATTTGGGTGTGTTAGACTTGATAGTAACAAACAGTGTGTGTCTTAGATTTGATAGTAGCAAACAGTGGGAGTTAATTGATGTAGAGTAACTTACCAGGAAAAGAATTTGTTTACTACACGTTCTTAGCAACACCCACTATCATTCACTCCCTACAGGTTTTTCTCAATGGCTGAGGTGACGTGTGACAAGTGTGACAAGTATTATGTGGACCTTCGCATGCTGCCATGTCTCCATTCCTTCTGTCTCGAGTGTCTGGAGAAGGAACAGGAAACTCAGGATACCCATAGCAGTCTCCACTGCCCCAGCTGCAAGGAAAAGGTAACTCTATCTGAGAACGGAGTATTTGATATCCCTCAAGACCTACATAAAGCTAACGGGGCCAATATTGCACGCATTCACGAGAAAGTGAAAGACGCAGATGAATATTGCGATAATTGCGGGAGAACTTATAGCACAGGGAAGGCGGTCACATACTGCATCGAATGTGAAGGTTACTTGTGCAAATTTTGTGAAGGGAAACATGGTACGAGAAGAATATCAGCTGACCACAGCTTTATTACCATTGGTGATATGTCTGCCAAAGCATACACACCCACCTCAATGGGCAAGTTTTATCAACCACAAATGCTCTGCCAACAGCATAAAGCTCGCCCTCTTGACACCTACTGCCAAAAATGCCAGAAAGTAATCTGCATGGCTTGCATGAACTTTGACCATGACAAGCATCACGAAGAGTGCAAACACATCGGGAGAGTAGCAAAGGAAGAAATTGAAAGCCTTCAAGCTTATCAAGGGGACATGAAAACAGCAGCAGCTTCACTAGATACAGCTATAGCCAAGTGTAAGGAGACCATGGAGAAGGTGGAGGAAAGGAAAAATGAAGTAGATTCTGCCATCACCAACAGCTTGGAGCAGGCACGCAAGGCTCTTCTCACACAAAATGAGGCAATTCGCTTTAGCAAAAGAGCAGGTCTTGAAGCACAAGTGGATCAGCTTCAGAGGGTACGCGATGGCCTGTCGTTTGCTTTCAGCATGATAGCTGACACCCAGTCCCACAGTCCTGCTCACCTGCTATCAACCAAATGTGTCCTAGCTGAGAGGGCAGCAAAATTGCAAAAGGAATATCAAGTTTCAAACTTGTCTCCATCCCAGAGTTCCAATTTTTTAACTGATATTTCCGACCAGCCCATTATCAGCAAGATAATTAGCCTGGGCTGGGTATCAGGTGGGGGGCATCCAGCCTCTAGCACTTGCAATGCTGGATATTTGCCACGTGCAGTTGTAGGTGTACCACGTACCATCAAGGTGGTAGCCCATGACAATCAGGGAAAAGCACTTGGTAAAGGAGGAGATGAGGTGGCAGCTAAGCTTGTTCAAACAGGCTCCCAAGGTCCCCCTATCACCAGTGAGACTATTAACCATGGGGACGGCACCTACTCTGTGTCCATCACCCCAGAGGCAGTCGGGGAGCATGAGTTGCATGTGACTCTTGATGGCCTCCATGTAAATGGCAGTCCCTTTAAGTACAGCATAACAAATCCCAGAGCACCTGCCTATACTGCATTGTCTACTCAGTATATCGGCATTAGCACTAGCTATCCCTACGATGTGGCACTAACAGAGGAGGGATATCTTGCAGTAGCAGAATATGGCTGTCACACTGTCTCCTTGTACTCTGCGACAGGTCAGAAGATTCACACCTTTGGCAAAGCAAACAGTTATGGGAGTGGAGATGGACAGTTCTATCATCCATCTGGTATAGCCATCCGAGGTGACCTAATGTATGTCTGTGAACAGACCAACAAAAGAGTCCAGAAGTTTAGTGTTAAAGAGAGAGCTTTTATTTCCAAATTTGGCACAAGTGGAGAAGGTAACAATCAGCTTTCAAATCCTCTCGGTATCTGCATTGATCCTGAGGGAAAGGTGTTCATAGCTGACTATGGAAACATTCGTATCCAAGTGTTCAATAAAGATGATAGTTTTGCCTATTCCATTCCCTGCCAGGGCAACCCCTGGGGACTAGCTTTTGGTCTTCAAGGACATCTTCATGTTGCTGCAAGTACCTTAAACTGCATCCATGTCTTCACACCAGATGGAACTCTAGTCACTAGCTATGGTAGTGGGACTATCTACCAACCTGCAGGCATTGCCATTGATGCTGAAGGCTACATTGCCATCAGTGAGATTGGTGGAAACAATCGTCTCTGGATCTATAATCCCGACCACACACTTGTACACACATTGTATAACCAGTTTAAGAGCGGTGGTTTCGGAATTGCTTGTGACAATAACAACTCTTTTTGGGTGACTGACTTCGGCAACAACCGCTTGGTCAAATACTGATGGAAAACTCTGACACAGAAACACACAAACTTGTATAGCAAGCACACCAACATGTTGGGACCAAATTTACAGAATACCAGTACACTACTTAGCTATGCCAGTAATAATACTTTGATAAACGATAAACCTAACGCTGACTATATATGTATATAATTATGTAGCTATCTAACTATAACATTATGTACACAACATATTAAGCAATTTTCATTTTGAAGTCAGAGCAGTGTACAACAGAGAATGACAAAAATATATCTCGAAAGTATACATCAACCTGCCCTCAAGCAGTATATTTAACAATTTACTCGACCCCTCTCCCCAACCCCCCAACCCCCACCAACCCCCCCCCACCCCCCGAAAGAAACTGCCCTGTTGTTACATGTAAGTGCTGATAACCAGCGCAAGTGCGAGCTTTATGTTACCAAACACAGGAAATTTTCGCTTCAATCGTGAGTGTCTCATACACTTTTACTACTTCCAAAGACTCTCTGTTTGAAAATATAAAGAGGGGTGTCTTACGGTTTCTGAATTCAAGAACCAAACTAGTGGTGCCAGAACAAAGGTTTGGTGAACAAAGATGGCTCATGGGCAGCCAGTCACATCACGCATATGCGTGCCACACGCACATGCGGGAATGAGTGCGTGAGCATGTTGTGCGTGGGCGATACACCTAAAATTATGTGGAAGGAATGGTGCAATTATATAAAGCTACTCAGCCTAAAGCGAGGCATTACGGCAAGTTTTTGTATGAGCCGTAGCTACCTAAAAGTGGTGAGAATCTATCCGAGACGATCCCCCTTTTTTTACCGCAATTGCGCAAGGTTTATCCTGCTATATTAGTATTGTTACCTAGCTATAGCTGATGCATGCATTTCGGCTGCAAAGCCGTGCTTGTGCTCCCTCACAAGTTTAATGGATTAAAGGCAGTCAGGGAAGTCACGGGAGTCAAGGGATCAAGGAGTAAGGGGTAGTCAGGTGGCCATGGGGTCAGGGGAGTCAATGGAGGAAACAAATAAGTAGGAATGAAAGGGGACTCAGGGGAATTAGGGAAAGAAGAAAAGGGATATTTTAGGTTATAGAAAACGGCATGTTGTTTTGGCATCATTTCGTGTAACCGAGAATTTGTGGTTGCGCGCAATTTTTAATATTACATCATTCTAGCTGTCAGATAATAAGGGTGACGATTAAAATAGATTTATGCGGGAAAGTATTATAACTCACGTTTCCATTTATTAAGAATATGGCAGCAGCGGAGGGCAAATCACAGAGAAAATAATAGGCATATTATTTTGGCATCCAAGATTGCTGACTTTCGGAATATTCATAACAGTGCAAAACCTCTTTACCTCTGTGGTTGGGAAAGCATTGTAGTTCACTTAGTGTATAAACCACAGACTGCTTCTTCATTTGACTCCCCTCCAAACATAGACAACATATCCTGAGAATTCCTGAAATGTGACTAATCAAAATGTTAAAATCATTATGTTCATACAATAGTCTAAGACTGTTCCTGTGCTTCGGCAATGGCATTTTTGCATCGATGAATTAGGTCACTGTTTGGTTTGAAAAAAACATTGCTTCATGTTGAACTGCACCATCAGAAGTGCATTCAGTGTTGACATGGCCAGACTATTTCTGTGTTTAGTCTTACGAGATTTTGCCTACCTCAGCCAGCCACAGAACAAGTGCTTGAAGCATTGCAGCATGATTGAAATTGAGTAACGAAATGACACTCTCACTATTGTTTGGCCTTGCGAAGTTAATTTGCGAGGCGTACTTCTTAAAGGTTATGCTTCTACTTGTCTTTCTCCCACCTGTAATCAAACATTGTTGCGGCTGTGATGCTGTATGCGTAGCTAATTATAGTGTGTCCATGTGTTTTAAAAAGGAGCTACACTCTGAGATAGGAGGAGTCAGAATCCAAACATTCTGCTGACTAAATCACCAAACTTTGGTCTCTTGAGGAGGATCTAACAACCAACACCATCCCATAGTGTTCAAGCTGCAGAGGAATATCAAAGCCTGTATATAGCTGCTTGGTACTTATAGGTAGCTAAAGTTGGTCTATTGTGTTATCTAAAGTAACAAGCCCATTTCAGAAGGTTAAAAAAATTCTTGCCGTAAATTCTTCTTGTTACAACCCTTTAAATCAGTGCTTTGCACGTGTACAGAAAGCCACATTGCAACAAGCTACCTTCCTCTCCCCAATCCTATGCAGTCGTGGGAAAGCTGCTGTTTGTGCCCCTGGTGAGAGAGGTCATACATACGTTTCAATGGAGCAGGCGGTATTGGAGATCTCTTCAGTGGGTGTCGACAATGGAGAGCAGAGTCATGACATGATAGTCCAGTGTAGGGAACTTTTGAACACTTCCCAACATGTCACTCCAAATGACCCACTAGGAAGAAATCACTAGTTGTTACATAATAATGTACAACATAGACATTAACCCACTAACAACATCAGTAGCCCTATTGGTTGTCAATACTCTCAGGAGTGATCCACCTGATAGCTAGGTACCACTCTCCCCACCCTCACTCCTGCTGCGATGATAGTAGTTGGTGCCATACACATCCTCTGCCAACCCAAAATCTGCCACTTTCATCACTCCATTATAGCTACCATCAATCCTGTAACAGCAAAACCAAAATGCACAGCCATCGAACTATCATAAGCTGGATGTTTGCAAACAAAATACTCCACGGTCACAGTGTACACCTCTGTTCATGGCCATTCCTTTAGCAATCTGATGGCATGTTATGTCCAGACACTTCTTTCTAGTATTGGACACCTGTTAATATAATACAACCACTGTAGAATGCTCGACCTAACTGCATCCTACACAAATGTACACTTACTTCTGTCGTCAATTATGTAAACTAATCATCTTAAAACGCTCATAATGGATGAAAGGAAGGTTGGCTGGAAGCTTCATAAAACATATGACTACATTTCCTGCCTTATATATAATTCTCACAGTAAACTTACAAACAACATACTTAAATAACGCACAGCATGTAGCTACACGTGTAAGAAAAATATAAATAATAGTAGAAATGATAGAAATAGAAATGTTAAAAATAGATTATCCAAAATAAATGTGTGACTATAAATATACATTCTATCTATGCGAGACATGGTGGCTGAGGAACCTATCCATTGCTGGCAGACATATACCATCCTCCACATGTTTGCGTATGCCGCAGCTATATTTAATCATAATTAATTTTGTGCCTGCTTCATAGCAAACTTATAAAAGGACCTGCACAAATCAGAGTATCTGTATCCTTGATGAATCAGTCGCTCCGTTAGTTTGAAATGTCTCAACGTAAAATCCCAGTAATCACTACAAATTCTACCTATACGTACTATTTGGGAATTATAGACTCTGTATGCTGGTCCAGATGGAATATTGGAACTTAGATATGAATTTTGAAGTTAAAATCATCCCGTTTATCATATACTGCCGTGGAATATTTGCCATTTGTTATAGTTATATGTAGATCTAAGTATGACAGTGTTGTTGGTGATTCAGATGTTATTTTTGGTTTAAGCTCCTCTTCAATGGCTGAATTAAACGATGTGTTATTCAATGTCAGCAAATCATCAATATACCTCATTGTGTTACTAAATCTTTTTGCCAGCATCAAATTAGTTTTTATCATAATCTTCATAATATCTATATTCATAGTAAAACAGAAACAAATTTGCCACCAACGGCACACAATCCGTTCCCATTGGAATCCCTATACACTGTCTATTACCTATACTAACATAAATATCATCTATCAAGTATTCCACATATGTGACTAGCATCTCTTTCTTCAGTAATATTATGTTTCGATGAGGAGTTCGATGGTACATTAGACCAGTACGCATTTCCAGTACTATCTGCTATAATGAACTCACTGTCTCTCACCATGTATGCTTCCTGAACTAAATAAAGCTTCTTTGAGTGCTACATGTGGAATGCTTGTGTACAATGTAGAAAAGTCATAGCTATCAAAATGCCTGGCCGTAGAAAAATAATTTCTTTTGCTTAAAGTTCAAAGCACCTGCTGAGAATTATCAATGATCCAAAAACAATTTACTCCAGTCCTACAAAAAATGCCGTTACAATATTGTTTATAATGGGTGGAAATTAGTTTAGTAAGTAGTTTAGATAAAGGTTTGTAGTGCACCTGTGTGATGCAGCTATGAACCTAGTACCATAAGGTTGTTTATGAAGCTTTGGAAGCCAATAAAACAAAGGCAAGCATCTATACTCAGGTCGTACATCAATGCGGTGGTTACTCGAAAAATTAATGTGTCTATCAACAATGCCTTGACATCCCTCCATAACATGCTCATACGTGATAGTGGTGTCGATTTCTTTTAATACAATTTCCAAATAATACTTCTTACAAACTATAATCACATTTTGTGCTGCTTTATCAGCCGGTACTAATACATACTTATTATGAAGCTCCTCTAGAGACCTTGAATGCACTCTATTTTTCAGGATATGCTTTTCCTTCTATTTATATGCTTTCTCTTCGGCGAGGCAATTCTTTTCTGAACATATTATTTTACCTTACATTCCCACTAATTTAATGCTCTTATGTCTATCCTTTCTCTACGCGACCATTTACATTTATATTTGGTTACTGCCTCCTTACATAACTTTTTAGTAATGCTCCAATCAACATAGTTTTGTTCTCTGTACGATGGTCCTTTCTCTATTAAGCTTCGAAGCTTTGCATCCCTTACGATGTTCAAGTCTCCAGTAACGACATTTCCAACAGGTGTGTAACAGTATTTACTCATATTACAACACATATCTCTAGTACCCATATCAACATCTAGCCCCTCAACTACCTTCTTCTGATTGAAAATCTTTCCAGCAATAGTTTTAGTGTTTCTTTCTATGTCTACGGTGCTTTCTCTTCCTAAACTTCCTATAATGATGGTATAAATATGGGTTCGTCAACCTCTTCAGACTACTTCTGTGGTTGTTTAACCTATTTCTAAGCTTCTGACTAGTCTCACCCACATATTGAATGCCACATTTATTACAAGATATTAAATACACAACATTATCTGAGGTGCAGGTCATAGATGTATATACTGTGGGTGATCACTCCATACAACTTTTTAGTCACATTACTGGTGAAAGTACTACCTTGAGAAATATGTTTACATGTTTTACAGCGTACAGAACCACAAGCACTTACACTACCACAAGTAGTATGTGCATGGACATCAGCCACAGCCCTTCCTTGAGTTGGGGATGTAG